CTAATTTTTCAATTAGTTCCAGCAATTTTTAATTGAATGTTTGGGGTTTTCTATATATGGCATTATATCATCTGCAAATAAAAAGGTTTCTGTTTCTTTTGAGTCAATATGCATGCTTTTTTTGATTTTCAAATCATTTTATTGGGGGCTCGTACAACTCATCACAATCCATACCTACAACCATTGTCAAGCACATTTGTACATTTGTTGCCATCATCTTTCTCAAAACATTTGCTTTCTACTTGAGCCCTTGATATCAGCTCCTCATTTTCCCCCTCCCTCTTTGCTCCCCCCTCCCTCATGAAGCCTTGATAATTTATAAATTATTATTTTGTCATATCTTACACTGTCTAATGTCTCCCTTCACCCACTTTTCTGTTGTCCATTCCCCAGGGAGGAGGTTATATGTAGATCCTTGTAATTGGTTCTCCCTCTCTATCCTCCCCTTCACCCTCCCAGTATTGCCACTCTCTCACCACTGGTCCTGAAGGGATCATCTGTCCTGGATTTCCTGTGTTTCCAGTTGCTATCTGTACCAGTGTACATCCTCTGGTCTAGCCAGATTTGCAAGGTAGAATTGGGATCATGATAATGGGGAGAGAAAGCATTTAAGAATTAGAGGAAAGTTGTATGTTTCATCGTTGCTACATCGCACCCTGACTGGCTCATCTCCTCCTAGCGACCCTTCTGTAAGGGTCTATCTAGTTGCCTACAGATGGGCTTTGGGTCTCCACTCTGCACTCACCCACATTTACAGTGATATGATTTTTTTGTTCTTTGATGCCTGATACCTGGTTCCTTCTACACCTCGTGGTCACACAGGCTGGTGTGCTTCTTCCATGTGGGCTTTGTTGCTTCTGAGCTAGATGGCTGCTTGTTTACCTTCAAGCCTTTAAGACCCCAGACACTGTATCTTTTTTTTTTATTTTTTTAGACACTATCTTTTGATAGCCGGGCACCATCAGCTTTCTTCACGACTTTTGCTTATGCACACATTTGTCTTCAGCAATCGTGTTGGGAAGGTGTAATATGCATGCTTTTAATATCTTTTTGATGTTTTATAGTTCTGGGTAAGACTTCCAGGACTAGTTTAACTCAGAGTTCTGATAAAGGGCAACCTTGTTTAGTTCCTGTTCGAAGGAGGAGATGTTTTCAATTTCTATCCATTAAGTGAGATGCTGGCCACCTATTTTGTATATATAGCCTTTGTTATCATGAGAAATTTCCCATCTACTCCGATTTTACTGAATATTTTAATCAAGCAAGGACGTTGAATTTTATCCAATGCCTCTTCTGAGTCATATGATATAACTATATGGTTCTTATCCTTTATTTTGTGGACTGTTTTTCTAGTATTGAACCATCCTTGGACACCTGGTATGAAACCCACTTGATTATGATTTTTTTTCTTTTTTGGATGTTTTGCTGAATTTTATTGAAAATATATTTTCTGTATTCATCAGGAATACTGGTCTATAATTTTCAATTCTGGCGATGTCTTTACCTGCCTTGGGTATTGGGTTATACTTGCTTCATAAAATGAGTTTGGTGGTATAATGTTTCTATATTGTGTAGTGGTTCATGTAGGATTAGTGTTAACTGCTCTCTAAATTCCATGATAAAATCATCTAGTCCTGGACTTTTTGATGTTGGGAGTTTTTTATGACGAAGTTATTTTGTTAAAGGCTTGTTGAGATTCTTCTACATCACTCTGTGTTAATTAAGATCGGTAATACGTTTCTAGAAATTTATCCATTTCTTCTAAATTTTCAAATTTTTTAGAATAGAATTTTTCATAATATTGTCATCATTTTCATTGCAGTTGGTTCTGTTGTTATGTCACCCATTTCATTTCTTGTTCATAATATTTGCTTTTATCAATTTTGTTAATCCTTTCTAAGAGCTAATTTTGGTCCTGTTTTTTTTCCTAACCTTTAAAAAAAATTCTGATTCAGTTATTTCTGCTCTATTCTTTCAGTGTTTTGCTGATCTTTTTCCAATTGTTGTAGTTAATATATTAAGGTATTTAATTTTTTCTTCCTATTTAATGTGTGCATTTATTGTTACAAACTGTCCTCTCCATACTGCTTTTGACATATCCTAGAAATTTTGGTATGCTGTATTAGAATTCTCATTTGCTTCAAGGAATCTTTAAATTTTGTTCTTTAGTTCTTCAATTACCCAGTGGTTTTTAGACAGAGTGTTGTTCAATTTCCTTGTAATAGACTTTTTGGAGTAACTTTTCCTATGGTTAATTTCTAATTTTATAACATTGTGATCTAAAAAAATTGGTTTTTAGTATCTCAATGTTCTTTTAAATTTATTGATGCTTTCTTCATAACCTAAAATGTGATCTACTCTGGACTACATCCTATATGTGCTAGAAAAGATTGTGCACTGTGCTTCGGTTGGGTGAAGTATTCTGTATATATCTAAAAGATCAAGTTCATGAATTATGTTGTTTAGTTCTTTTGTATCTTTGTTGATTTTCTTTCTAGTTGATTGATATTTGCTCCATGTGTTGAAGTCCCCTAGAATTATTCTATTATTGTCTATTTGTCTTTCTATTATTTTAATAATTTGATTAATGTATTTTGAAAGCCTTTTATTTGGTCCATAAGCAACAACAACAACAAAAAAGCCCCCAAACTAAAGTCATGGACATTCAGTCAATGCTGACTCATAGAGACCTCCTGTGGGTTTCCAAGACTGTAACTGCTTATGGGAGTAGAAACACCAGTCTTTCTCCTGTGAAGCAGTTGGTGGTTTTGAAATGCCGACCATGCAGATCATAGTCCAACTTGTAACCACTACCCTACCAGGGCTTCTTTGGTGCATATAGATCAACTACGGTTATGGTTTCTTGTACAATTGAAGTCTTCATTACTATGTAATGGCCTTCCCTGTCCATTATGACTTTTTCTTTGGTGTCTATTTTGTTAGAATTTAATATTGCTACTCCTGATTTCTTTTGACTGCCAATAGCTTGATATATATCTTTCTGTCCTTTGAGTTTTAGCCTTATATTTATCTTTATGTATGAGATTGTTTCTTGAAAGCAGCATATTAAAAGCTCATGTTTTCTTATGCATTCTGTTAGTCTTTGTCTCTTAGTGAGTTCAATACATTTACATTCAATTATTATTTATAAGTATGGTTTCATTGCATTCATTTTGTTGTATGATTTTTAATGATGATATTGGTTTCAATGCCCATAGTTAATTTTGTTGCATTCCTTTTGTTTATACATTTTCTCCATAATATTTTCTTTGCTTTCTTTGTTGTTGTCTTACTATTTAACATGATTGTGTGACTTTCTTCAGTTTCACCTTGAACTTAAATCTGAGCAATTCATGGTCTGCTTTATAGTCGGCCCTTGGTCTGGTCTTCGCTGCTGATGTTGAGCATTTCTTCCCATCCACTCTTCCCACAGATGTAGTCAGTTTGGTTTCTGTGCATTTCATCTGGAGACGTCTGCGTGTATGGTCTCATTTTTGTATTGTTGAAAAAAGGTATCTGCTATGAAATCATTGATCTTACAAAATTCTATCATGTGATCTCCAGTTTCGTGTCTATCAGCAAGATTGTATTTTCCAACAACCGTTCCTCCCCACTTGTTTCCAACGTTTGCATTCCAATCCTCAATAATTATCAGTGCATCTTGACTGCATGTTTGATCAATTATGGACTGAAAATGTTGAAGAATTCTTCATTTTCCTTATCATTAGCTTTAGTGATTGGTGCATAAATTTGAATAGTTGCACTGATTGGATTTCTTGAAGGTGGGTAGATATAAAATCCTATCACGTTGAACTTCAAGATAGATGTTGAAATGCACTTTTTGATGATGAATGCCACCCCATTCCTCCTGGATCTGTCATTCTTGGCATACCAAAATTATTTTCTGATTCAAAATGGCCAATACCAGTCCATTACAGCCCACTCATGCTTGGAATATTGATCTTTCTGTGTTCTATTTCGTCTTTTACCATTTCCAATCTTCCTAGATTTTAACTTCATACATTCCAAGTTCCAATAATTAATTGATGTTTACAGTGGTTTCCTCTCATTTTGAGTTCTGCTCCATCAGCAAATACAAGTCCCAAAGGCTTTGCTCACACTGGCTTTGCTCCATTGGTGTCGCTGCAGTTGACTCTCTTCGAGAAGGCAGCTCTCCCTGTCATATTCTGAGTGCCTCTAACCTGAAGGGTTCATCTTCTGGCACTATCTCTAGCAATGTTCCCCTCTGTTCAGGCGGTTTTTGGTCTCTAAAAAGGTTTCAGTGCTATCTATAAGGTTTTCGGTAGCTAATTCGCCAGAAGTTAGCAGCTTACTCCTTCTTTGCCATCTGTTCTTAATCTGGAAGCTCTGCTGAAACGTGTTACTTTGGGTGACCCTAATAAGTGAAACACCAGTGACAACAGCTTCCAGCATCACAGCAGCACGTAAGTCACCAAGAGATGATAAACTGTCTAACAAGTGGTGGCAGAGTTGGGCCTGGTAACATTTTTTGTTATACCTAAGGTCATCATGACTAACAACAGGTCTAACTACATCCTTAATAGGATATATTATCAGCCTCAGCCCTCTGGTAGGAAGAGGATTTGAAAGAGTCTCACTACACACCTATTATCTGATATAACTCTGGGAATGTACTCATTTTTGCAAGGCAGTAAGTCTGTTAATCTACCGTTGAATAGATTATTCAATTGGTGACCACCTCTATAATGGCCACTTCTACCAATTTAATAGCTTTGCTAATACCTTGCCCTAAATGAATCCTAGTTTCCTTAAATCTTTTCATTGACCACCACACTTTGTTCTCAACCTACCTAAGTTTTGGCATAGGTATATTACGTTCTTTGTAACAATCAGCTTCTCCACTATGTTATTATTATTAAGCATTCCTGTCTACTTTTAGGATGATTTAAAACTTTATTCACAGAAATAACATAGATGTATTAAATTTAGATTTCTTTAAAGGGGCTGAAGGATTTTACCTTGAAATGCCAAATTCTTGATGAGATCTTTTGCCATTACTACGGTCCCATCTTGAAGAAGACTGTTCAAAAGGCGGTAGACCTGAAGTTCCTGAACTCCTCCTCAACTGTGGTGCTGGTAAGCTACTCCTACTATTCAGGCCCTGTTGAATAATTTAACAGTGGTTAAAATCTTCTTCTGTTAATATGCTATATATGTAATATTAAAGGCGGCACATGAAGATGTCAATACAAATTGTATTTTACATTACGTTTTAATCTAAGAAAAACAGAACATTATGCTGTCTGCCAGTTTCTTCCAGATTTTACATTCTATACATTCCAAAATTTACATATATTATATATTGAATTAATCCATTCATGTTCTTCTTACTTAAAAATTATTTCTGAATTCTTTACAATTTAAGTAAGGCTTTTTTTCCTCCTCTTCTACACACTCATCCCTACTTTTATGAGAAAGAAACAAGGGATAATTTTAAATATGGGTAAAATAAGACTTTCCCTAAAAAATTACTTCAGAGGAACAGCTTAGGATCAGGGAAGATCAGCCCAATATCAAAAGCTTTTATAATTTTCAGTATAATTTTATCTATTATACCTAGCAGTTAAGCTGAAGAAAAGATACAGTTCTGAGTTACCATCTGACTTAATAATTAAATTAAATTAATAACTTTAGCATTGATAATATTTAATATTTACATTAAATTTACAAACATCATAAGCTATCCCTATGTTCTTTTAATGAAAATACCCAATGTTTACATAAGTATTTATTTTGTTGAGATTTATAAAAAATCGCTTCTGTTTCCTATTAAGTTCCCTATCAGCAGACACTGAAACAATCAGAGAGAGAGATCTATCTGTTTCCATCTAAAATTTCCCAAGGATGTTGATTTTATAAAGGTCCCTGGTTAGACAGTCGGTGAAAAGTTCCTTATACAACTAATCCTCCACTGTCTATAGTTCAGGTCCAGAGAACCTTTCTTAGTTCTTAACACACCTATACTTGTATTATAGCATAACTTCTGCCTTAATAATCTTTTTAAACTAATGCTGCTGCTCTTTTCTGAAGCAGCATAAGGCTTTTTCATAGTCTTTTCCAAAAGCAGGGACAAATTAGACATGGCATTCAAATGGGAGTTTAAAAAACACAAGAGAAAGGAATAGGAGGGCATTTCCTGATTCTTATATGACTTACTCCTATCAGTAGATACCAGCACCAAAAATAAGATTGATTAACTGCTCAGGAAATGAGGCATTAAGGTTTCCTGTTTAATTAATTTTATTGTTTGAAATGTTTTTAAAATGTACCAATGCACTCTTTCTACTTAGTAAACACAAGCACAATACTGATGTCAATGTGATTTTCGTCATTAGGAATTACCACTCCAAATACCAAGTGGAAATATACAGGAAGAAAATTCGAGTAAATATAAATTTAGTAATATATTGAACACTTAGTTTATTGATACATTTATTGCTGTTTTTTGGAGGCTTGTGATTAACCTGTCTCATAGGTGGATTGCTGAAAACTGCCATATGGCCAAATGCCATTGTTGTAAGTAGCACCACTGGAACGGCTACTTAATAATCAATTTTTAAAAAAGCACCACATAACTACCTAGGGTTGGGATTGTGATCAATAATGATTTTCAAATTATTTTTTACCTAGATGGGCTTGTTTGAGCTTCAGCATGTCTGAACCTTAGTACTGAGAACTAACTAAATAAAATTATTCTTCAAATAAAATAGTGTCTGGGGTCTTAAGGCTTGTTTCCAAACAAGCAGCCATCTAAGTGAGATGTCAACTAAGTCCACGTGGAAGAAGCACACCATCACCAGTCACCAAAGAATTGTAAATCCCATAATCTGAAGTCGAAGGAGGGAATAGTAGCGGAGTCTAAATTGTGAGAATTCAGCTTTCAGAAGGCGATGGATGAAGTGGGAGCCGAGGATACATTTGAGGAATCTACATAGGACATAAGCCTCCGGTGACTTCCCTCCATCCACAGTAGAGGGACGGGAAGAAAGTGGTTACTCAGCACGGCACGTGGGAGGGATGACTACAGAAGACCAAAAGGGTAAACCTGATGTGAACGGTTGAAAATCTTGTCAGTTGATTCCCCCTCAGATGCATGTTAAGCCTGATCTGGTTTTCAACATTTCTGGGGTTTTTTTGTGAATTTATTTGTTACTATTGGGGTTTATCTCAGGTGTGTCATGTCACTGGAGGTCACCCTCTTGACTTTTTTATATATATTTTCCTGTTTTTCAGTATATGCAACCCAGGATTGAGGAGCCTATAGGGACAGCAAGTAGAATAAGAGCTTTGGGGTGGGGGTGGGGGGTAAAGGGAGCTGATGTCAAGGAGGTCAGGAAGGAAAAGAATGTTTTGAAACTGATTGTGGTAGCCATTGTACGATACTGTTTGACGTGACTGAACTATGGGATGATATCTGTATTAGCTTCCAATAAAATGGTTGTGGGGAAAAGAAGACATTTAACATTTTGCAAATTGTTTAATTAACAGATTAAATGGATTTGAACTTCGTTCTCTCGTGGCCCGTTTTCTTATGTAGAACACAGTAGTTGAGTTCCAATCTCTTAAATGTTTCTAGTTATACGTTTTCCTGATGGTAGCTATTGGTGAAGACGGTGATAAACAGCCCAGACAAGTGAAAGCGTGGTGAACAAGCACAGCACACATCCATTTGGAGCTGTATTGTTTTGTAAAGGAAACCCTATTTTGGAAATCATTTTACAGAGAAATTAATCTTATATCTAATGATGGAAAAAGCAATGCCAACTAGGCGATCTCAGTCTCCAATGGGCAGAAATGCCAGGGGAAGAAGGGGGAGGGGGCAAGTTTCCAATAAAACATCAATTAAAAAAAATCAATGCTATGTAAATCATAAAATGAAAATTATAGTGATTATTTCCTCTTGGTTCTTAACAAGGACAATTCCTGCATTCTACAGAATAATAACATGTTGAGTACTGATTTATGCAGGAATTAAATCTGTTTCTTATTTTGTAGCGCTTGACAATAATAAGAATAATAAATAGTTGCTACCATTCAAGTTATTACTGTTAATTATAGCACTCTTATTTGGATTAAGAATTGAATTTCCATCTAGACTTATTTGAACGAATTAACTACCTCTGAAGTCCCAAGAGGCTAAATACAGTATAAAAGAGAGCGGTCCTGGGGGAAAAGAACAAACATTCTATTGTATATAAAGGAGCAACTTTCATTTGAAAATATCATTAAATATGAAAAACTGGCTCGTGAACAGTATTTTGACCTTGTAAAGTTTTCGATCTCCTTTCTCAGCTGGGTCTTCCATCTCAGAGCAGGGGTAAAATCCAGGAAATGGTGTGAGAGGATTAATCTTTGGCCTACAGGAACCTGAGAAAGCACCCATCAGGCTACTGATGCTCCGTAGGGTTGAAATGACTTGTGGGGGGAGGGTGGGATCAACCAGAAGGTCTGACACCATGGTGCGAGCTTCATTTAGCACAGAAAGGTCAACTCCACTTCCACCTCCAGAATTCTAGAAAAGAAAAGATGTAAACTTACTTAACACTTGTTACATGGGAAACTTAATATTTAAGAAAAACTTACTCTTCTTTGAATCAAGGCCTTTGATCTATCTAAGCAATTGAAGACTTGTGTTGTTGTCAGGTACCACGGAACTCGCGCTGACTCGTGGACCGTACCTTATGGACAAGAATGTGAAACACTGCCTGGCTCTGTGCCATCCTCACAACTGCGGTTACGTCTGAGCCCACTGTTGCAGCTACTACATCAGTGCACTGCCACAAGGGTCTTCCTCGTTTTCACTGCCCCTCCATGTTACCAAGCATGATGTCCTTCTCCAGGGACTGAACTCTCCTGTTAAGTTTTCATTTATGTGGACCTGGTATAAATGCTATATTAAGTAGGATAATTCTAACTTGGAAATTTTTGACAGTGAGAATACATCTTGAGTAATAATTTTTTTATTAGCTTCCACACTACATTTAATGGTGTCTATTACGACATTCTGAGACTTTCTAACTGGTATAAAACCAAATCTGCACTTACTTGAAACATCTATGATCCGCCCAGTCCTGCCCTTCAGTTCTGGCTAGACCAGAGCAGGTACACTGGTACTGGTAAGGCTCAGACACACCGAATCCTGGTCAGATAAGCCCCTCAGGCACAGAAATGGGAGTAGTGATAACAGGAGGGTAGGAGAAGGGTGGGGGGAGGGGAGAACTGATCATAATGATCGATGCATCACCCCACCCCCCACCTCGCCCAGGGGGACAAACGACAGAAATAAAAAAGGTCAAGGGAGACCGCGATCGGTGTTAGATATGAAAATAAAAATAACATAATTTATCAAGGGGTCACAAGGTGGGGGGGGGGGGCAAGACTAGCTGATACCAAGGGCTCAAATATAAAGTAATTGTTTAAAAATGATGGTGGCAACTTATGTACAACTATGTTGGATACAACTGATATATGGAATGTTCTATGAGCTGTAAGAACACCCAATAAAATGATTTTTTCAAAATCTATGATTTGGACTTTTCACTCAGTTATTGAGGATTTTCTCTCCCTTATGTCAGTGTCTCCTAAAGACAAACACTGTGTCTCTCATTCACCTTACTCAAGAAGCAGTCCAGCACAGTGACAGCTTTTTTGCAAAAAGACAGCAGCTTCAAATCTGGACTCTAACCTCATCTGTGTGACCTTGAGCAAGTTATTTACCATCTGAACAATTTTCAGTTTTTTCCACTGTAAGGTGAGGGTAATAACATCTATCTGAGTAGGGGCTGATATGAGAATTAAATCTGACCAAGCAGGTAGGGTACTCCAACAATGTACAGCACCTATGTTTATAGTGTAATAAATGGTACTATAACAAGTATTATAAAAAGTAATAAATATATAAATAAAATTAGTTCAGAAGTCAAAAGAAATTTGAGCCGGATGGTTAAAAAAATTAATGAAAGGGGTAGCAATGGCTGAGCTCAGAATTATTGGTAGAAAAGTACTTTTTACAAAGTAAAATTTAGAGAAATATTTTATTGATGTATACAAGTTATTTTTAATTTTTGAAAATATATATGTGACATGCAAGATATTCAACTCAATTACCCTTAGAAATAAGTGCACAGATCAGAGCGGTCAATTAAATGTGTTACTCTATTTGTTATATTTTTCCTGAGCTTATATTTCTATAAGGGAATGTTTGGAACTCATAATTATTCAATTTGTTTAATGAGTTACAATAAAGCTGCTTCTTAAGTATTTTCTACACATGCTCAAATTGAGAAATATTATGCACTTCATTTAGGTCATGGTACCTAAAGAAAGTCCTTGCTTTTTGTGAATATGTTTTTCTTTCTTTAGTGTTATTTTTAGTCAGTTTTTATTTTAAAATGTTCTTCACTACTGGGGCATAGTCCAGTTATTTTTTGGCTTTTATCTACTATAAATAACATTAAAGCCAACAACTCTCTCTATAGTCTATATATATATCACAACAGACAACCAGACCTCTCTCTGATAACTTTGACTAATTTGAATAGTTAAAATAAGTAAAGCAAATACACATGAATAAAAATTAAACAATATCATTTGCAATGTTAATAGACTAATAGGAAATATTGAGAGACCATATCAATAGATGTAGAGAAACTATCCCCCTCTGTGGATCAGTGGTCCACAATCAGAAGAAAATATTTTCATTCTTAAGTCCATTGAGATTCATAGAGTCTCTCTCTATGGGGCAGTGTAGAACTGTCCCCAGGGGTTTCATAGATTGTAGATCCTTATGGGAGCAGGATGCCTCCTCTGTCTCTGAGTGATTGGTGGGTCCGAAATGTTGGTCTTTGCAGTTAGCAACACAACACATGGCCCATTATGTCATCAGGCTCTTTTTCATACTTGAAATATAGATTTATTAGTTTATTCTGAGGCCATATTACATTAATAAATGTTTAGACTGATTATGTAAGACTGGCTTATTATAATTTTCCTATTACATTTTACTCAAAATGTAATTCTTAAAAAATCGACTTAAATAAAGGTCCCAGATATTTTTACTAAAGAGAATCTTATGGTACAGAAATATTATAAATGCATTTTTAATTGAAATGTCTCGAGTCTCACTACAGATATGGTTATAAGTGATGCTACTTATATTTACCTGATAATGAGGTTTATACCATTGCTTTAAGTCCCAATCCCAGAGAATCATCTGAAAGAGAAAAAAATCACTTAGTTGGCAAACTATAAACAAATATTTATAAAGACAAAATACAGCATATTCAGAGATCGCTAAAATAACTTCAAATTTACAGGAAAATTGAGAAGCTGAGAATAAAATTTACCTCTAGGTAGACTATTAATAGACTGTTATTAATAATACAAAAGGGCTTCAAAACTTCATGGAAAAATGGAATAGAAAGATAATGAAATTTTTCCACAGACTTTTTAAAGACCCTTTGTCCAATATCTAATAAAATCAGAAGAGTAAGCTTAAGAATAAAATCACTAAGATATGCTCTATTAGTCTTCCAAATATCTATTATTATTAAAAGGGCTAGTAGAAACCAAAAAATCATTATCTAATCATAAAAAATATGTCATCCAGAGGATGATGTAACATATAAAAATAATAATCTATAAATTATTAAGGGTTCATGGGGGAGGGAAGGAGGGGGAGGGAGGGAAAAAATGAGAAGCTGATATCTAGCTCAAGTTGAAAGAAAATGCTTTGAAAATGATGGCAACATATGTACAAATGTGCTTGACACAATGAATGAATGCAAGGATTGTGATAAAAGCTTAAGAGCCCCCCAATAAAAGTATTTAATTTTTTCAAAAGTTACAGTTTTGTAAATGTCTACCCGGTAAAAATATGTCATCATCCCCTCCTGAAAGGTGTTTCATTTAGTGTCACAAACCAGTGCCAAAGGGTGGTGCTATTTCCTTACCTAGAAAGCATTTATACACTGGTTAGATTAAAAGTGAATTTATAAAACCAATCCCCCCCACATGTTGATACAGATAATTCATAACTGTCTTCATGGACATCGCCTTTACAGGCACTATATGATAATTTCTTAGTTCCAGACTAGATTTCCTCCCTTGCAGAATTTCAAGCTGCTTTCTTATTCCATAGTCACTAGGCTCAAAGAATTAAGATTAGCTTTAATTCAGCAAACTATCACTACCAGCTATTATTAATCCTGCCTTTGTTGTTCTTGTTTAAGTGCCATCAAGTTGGTTCTGACCCAGAGTGGCCCTATGCACAATAGAGTGAAACAGCGCCCAGCCTGGTGCCATAATCACAATTGTTCCCCTTCGTGAGCCCACTGCTACAGCCGCTGTGCCAGTCCATCTCCTTGACAACCTTCCTCTTTTCCGCTGCCCCTCCACTTTACCACAAATGATGACCTTCTCCAAGGACTGGTCTCTCCCAACTACATGTCAAAAGTATGTGAGACCCAGTCTCACCATTCTTGCCGCCAACAAGCACTCTGGACATACTTCTTCCAAGACAGACGTTTGTTCTTGTGGATGTCCATGGTAATTTGAATATTCTTCTCCAGTACCACCGTTCAAATGCATTGATTCTCTTCAGTCTTCCTTGTTCAATGTCCTACTTTTATATGTATATAAGGCAATTGAAAATATCATGGCTTGAGTCAGGTGCACCTTAGTACATCTTTGCTTTTCAATGCTCTACATAGGTCTTGTGCAGATTTACCCAATGAAATGAATCCTTTGATCTCTTGACTGCTGCTTCCATGAACATTGATTGTGGATTCAAGCAAGACAAAATCCGTGAGAACTTCAACCTTTTTTCCATTTATCATGATGTTACCCATTGGTCCAGTTGTGAAGATCTTGGTGGCGTAGTGGTTACAAGTTTGGCTGCAACCCTCAAGGTCTGCAGTTTGAAACTACCAGCAGTTCTGCAGGAGAAAGATGGGGCTTTCTGCTCCAGGAAGTAGTTAGTCTCCAGAACTCACAGCGATCATTCAGCGCTGTCCTATAGAGCTGCTCTGAGCCGGCATAGACTTGATGGCAGTGAGTTTTTGGAGAGTTTTAGAGTTACGTTGAGATCTAATCCATACTGAAGGCTGCATGCAACCCTCGATCTTCTTTACCAAGTGCTCAAGTCGGAACTCCTCACTTTCAGCAAGCCAGGTTGTGTCATCTGCATACCTCAAGTTGTTATTAAGCCTTCCTCCAATCCTAATGACCCGTTCCTCTCCATATAATCCAACTTCTGATTCTTTGCTCAGCATACAGACTGAATATGTATGGTGAGAGCATACAACGCTGACACACTTTTTCTGATTTAAAACCACGCAGTATTCCCTTGTTCTGTTAGCCTAACTGCCTGTCAATCCATCTACAGGTTTCACATGAGCACACGAAATGTTCTGAAAGCCCCATTCTTCTTTAGGTTGTCCACACTTGGTTTGATCTACACAATCGCATGCTTTGGTGTAGTCCACAACACACAAGTAAACAACTTTCTGATTTCTCTGCTTTTAGCCAAGATCCATCTGACCTCAGCAATGATAGCCTCTGTTCCACATTCTTATCTGAATCTGACCCGAACCTCTGGCAGCTCCCTGTCAATGTACAGCTGCGCCTGTCATTGAGTGATCTTCAGCAAGATTTTACTTGCATGTGATATCAATGATATTGCTCTATAATTTGAGCATTCTGTTGGGTCACCTTTCTTTGGAATGGGAGCAAACACATGAATCTCCCATCACTTAGTCAAGTAGCTGCCTTCCAAATTTCCTGGCATAGACAATTAAGTGCTTCTGGTGTTTCATCGGTTTGTTGAAACATTTCAATCAGTATTCGATCAGTTCTTGGAGTCTGGTTTTTGGCTAATGCTTTCAGTGCAGCTTGAACTTCTTCCTCATACGACTGGTTCTTGCTCATAGGCTACCTCTTGATACGATGGAATATTGACTAGTTTTGGGGGTGTTTTTTTTTTTGATACAATGACTCTGTGTATTCTTTCCATCTTCTTTTGATGCTTCCGGCATCATTTAACATTTAGCCCACAGAATCTTTCTATATGGCAACTGGAGGCTTAACTTTTCTCTTCAGTTCACTGTAAGACATATCTTAACTGTCTTTAAAGTTTACTAAATGCCCTTTAAAAATATAATTTCTATCTTCTAAGAGCCTTTATGTCTGATCTTGCATATAAGCCTCATAATTTATAATATAACCTATATGCTGAACTGTGTTGTTTCTTGTCCTTGGTCTGAAGTCTCCTGGTTGCAGAAGATCTTAAAGTGTTATTTAACATTGGTCCAATATTGATCAGGAGCCAGCACACTTTTCTGTAAAGTGTAGGGTTGGATTTGTGAATCACAAAAGGTCTGTGTTGCATCTGACATACCTATCTTTGTTTTTATTTAGATAGGTAGATAATGCTATTGGTGTCATTAAGGTGATAGTATCCCATGTGGCAGAGTAGAAATGTCCTACAGGGTTTTCTTGACCACAAGGTCTTCCTCTCAGAGCGTCTGGGTGGGCGTGGCCACCAACCTTGCAGTGAGCAGCCAAATTCATTGGCATCAAGTCCACCCTGACTCATGACAGCGCTGTGTGCTTCAGAACAAAACTGCATTCCACAGTGTCGACGGATGATTTGTTCCGAAGTGCACCATCAGACCATTCTGCTAAGTCCCCTTGGCTAGATTCAAACCTCATTTGAGTCAGCAGCCTAGTGCATTAACTCATGTTTATTCCTCCAGGGACCCCCACACATTAAGACCACCATAACCTAGAATCACTTGATAGGCTTATGTACCATTTTCTTCATGACGTTCTTGTACAATTTCTTTTTAGACCCAACTGCGTATTTTATTTTTGTCTTGATTATAGTCCGTCAAAGGTGGGTGGGTTTTTTGTTTAATTAAAGACGTCAGCTATTAACAATTTCTCCCATCATCAGAACATCTGTAAATCTGATATTTTTCTAAATTCACTAGTAAAACTCTAAAATAGACCAGAATGAAAACAAACGATCTAGTGGCATGTTATTAAAATTTACCTATCAGCTGGGCATCAATTCATTTGTTTGCATTCTTGGCTTACAAGCTTGGCTAATGGTGCTTTTGTTCCCAGGTGCCATCAAGTCAGTTCTGACCCAGGGTGACTCGTGCACCACAGAACAAAACACTGCCCAGTGCTGGCGCCATCCTCACAATTGTCCCATGCCTGAACCCACTGCTGGAGCCACTGTATCAATCCGTCTCCTTGAGGGAGCCCATGTCCTTGGGGTTCCTCTTTTTCACCGCCCCACCACTTTACCAAGGATGATGTGTTTCTTCAGGGTCTTTCCTGACAACACGTTCAAAGTACATAAGGCAAAGTCTCATCATCCTTGCCTCTAGGAGCACTCTGGTAGTGCTTCTTTCAAGACAGATTGGTTTGTCCTTTTGGCAGTCCATGGTACTTTCAATATTCTTCTGCACCACAGATCAAATGCATCACTTCTTCTTTGGTCTTCCTTATTCAAGATCCAATTTTCACATGCAAATGAGGCAATTGAAAATACAATGGCTTGGGTCAGTCGCCCCTTCGTCTTCAAAGTAACATCTTTGCTTTTCAGTACTCCGAAGAGGTCTTGTGCAGCAGATTTACCTATTGCAACTTGACTCATGAGGACCCTGCTACCCCAGCCGCACTTCTACAAGAAATCTATTAAATTGTGACCACGCCTACACCTCACTTCTCTGCTTCATTCCTCCAAGTAGAAGCTGACTTCCTACTAATGCAAGCAGAAACTGTCATGAGTCAGTCATCCCTTCCCCCTCACCTCCCTTCACCTATGTAACTAAATGAACATCATATTTTAAAATATTTGCACTTACATGCTGAGAGCCATATTTTTATTTACACATGCATTCACAAAGGAGGTCATAATGCTTCCAAGAAAATGAAAATTGTTTCTTGGAAGCAAACAAAAAAATTAAATATAAAAATGGCTGGTGGTGCTCCAAATGGGCGAGATATATGAATAGATTATACACCTATGAGGACGGCAGGACATTTCCTGCCAAGGGAAGAACAGCTAGAGAGGAGAAAACGGCTCCTTCCAAAACCAAAACGCACTGGCGTTGGGTCCAGGAGAGAGCGTCTTCCTAGGGCTTCCACGGCCGTCACTAGGGAAGCAGGGAAACGCCTCTTTCTCCCAGAGTGCCTGATGGG